GCAGGAGGAAAGCCTGGGTCCCAGCCCACCCACAGCCGGCAGCAGCCATGGGGCTGCCCGCGTGTCCCAAACACAGCGACATCCCCACGATGACAGAAACACCCCCAGAATGGGCTGCAGCTGCCAGCCTGGCCTCCGCCACGTTGTGTGTTAAAACGTTGCGCCTGCTGGAGTCGGAGCCTCAGAGCCACATCCCCACAGTGCTGGGACGCCTCCATGGACGCTGACTCCCCCAGCTCCCCATGCAGCTGTGCCAGTGCCCGACTGCTCTTTCAGCAAAGACGTTCTTCCTCAGATGCAGCGGGGATCCCCTGGTGCAACTGGAGGCCGTTGCCTCTCGTCCCATTGCTGTTAGCTGGGAGCAGAGGCTGACCCCCATCTCCCTGCAACCTCCTTTCAGGGAGCTGTAGAGAACAATGAGGACTCCCCTGAGCCTCCTCCAGATTATTTTTGTTTTTAGTTAATAAGAGTTTGCACAGTTTAGGGCAGATGTTGCAGGCAGTGCTTTGTTTGCCATCCTCACCTATTAAAGCCTGCTTTCTCACAAATGTGTTTTGAGTCCTGGCAAGATGGAAACCAGATGTTGTTTGTTCATCTGTCCCTGAAAGGAGAACTGCCATGCTGTGATTTCTTCAGGGAGTGTCTGATTAGAGCAATCCGAGTTGCTTTACTTCAAGGTCACACAGCGAGCAGCTTCACTTTTGTCTTAGCAGCTAATGTTAAGTTTAGGTTTTAGAAGTGTTGCTCCATCCTGTAATTCCACGACGTTACTTCTGCCCTTAAGAGCACAAGGGTTGGGTTTTCTCACAGCCTCCCACTTTAGAGGGCAAAGAAGGGAAAATGCCACGGCAGCCCAGAAGGGAACAATTCATGATATTTTCCTATTGCATTTTCCACAGATAATACTCGTTTATGTGAAGTTTAGCAGTAATACACATCTCCCTTTTACCAAATTGTCCTTGAGATAAAGCCAGGATTTTTTTTTTCAAACAGTTTTTATACCTTTCAACTGCTTCAACAAGTCAGGATTCCTTAACTCCTGTTAGTTCAAACTCCTCCAGTCTTTTATCAGAAGTGATTAAAGTGATTGAAGTCCAGATAAAGTCCAGAAGTGATTGAAGTCCATCTTACACTCAAATTGTATTCATAGAGATCAGTTGGTGAGAACAGCAGAGAGCAATTAACAGCTGACAGTGCTGCACTGCGGGGTGCTGTGATGATGGCATCTCAGCAGGACAGCTCTGCTTGCCCTTCCAGTGGGCTGAGCGCCAGACACAGCATCTCACAGACAGGCTTCCTCACAGCCCCCCAGCAGCCCCTGCCTGGCCCTCCGTCCCCGTGCTGCACTGCAGGAGGAGGGAGCAAAGCAACTTTGGCTGGAGGGAGATGTTGAATTACTGCACCCGTTATTCCTGCACAGCTGTTTCTGGGAAAGTTCTCTTCAAAAGCAAGAGTCCAGCCAAGAGCACGTTCAGCATGCAGAGCAGGGCTCCCTGCCCAGGCACGCCAGGGCACGGCACGGCCTTTTTGGGTTAAGACCAGAGGACTGGATGCTTCCCAATTTTCCGAGGGCCTACCTCCCACTGCAGTACTGCTGCTCTCCATTCCGGTCCTTGGAGCCAGGCCCGTTCTGGATGCCACTGCAGGAAGGCCACTTGTGCATCAGTGCTGCAGGAGGCAGCAAGTGCCTGGTGCTGCACAGCCCGAGCGCTACCCTCAGACCACAGAGGAGGAAAGCTCTGTCAGGAAGGACCTTTTCTAAAGCTCCGTCTCTGCTCCACGTCTTGTAAGATTTGGGCAGGGCTGACTTGTTGGTGCAAAAGAAATTCTGGGGCGCATCCAGCCCTACCCAGACAGTGCCTGAGGGAATGGAAGGTGAAGGGAACCGCGACCAGTCAGAGTTCCATCGCAGCGCCTACAGCCATGCCCTCACTCCAGCTCTCCTGCCACCACTCTGCCCCTGGCAGAGGCACTGAGAAGCCGTGTGGTGTTCTATGGCCCCACAGTCCTCATGTGCTTCCCACATCCTGAAGAGGAAAGGATACAAAGGTATAGTGCTAGTTTAGTTACACAGCAGATAAAAACAGGAATTTATAGACTTCACCATTGCTTTATCACCTCAATACTGAGCTCTAACCTAAGAGCACACCTAACCGTGTTCTTTCTGCCCTCAATGCAACCTGTCTTGGTAGGAGCCCCTCTTCCCTTGCTGCAGGAATTGATGCCATCACAATTCACTCAGCTGCAATATGAAGCCTGTTAACTGCAAAAGCTAGGAATACAAAGCAGTAATTTCCTTCACGACCACTAAAAACGTGACACGCGTTTCCCTTTTTGTAAGGAAGCACACACTACATAAAAGCAAAGTGACTGAATGCTGGGATTGATGTTTTTGAGCTTACCAGCTATGCACTTAATTTCTCACTTCCCCATAAACACTATATAAGGTCATTGTTGGTATAAAGAAGGGTTAGTTCCTTCTTCAAAGGCACCCCATAGCTGCACCACAAACCAAGGGGCTTCTTTTAGCAGCAATTAAACAGTTCTGGTTTTAGGGTCTAAGGTTCAGCTAACAGCAGCCCACTACACCGAAAGAACACAGCAACAGTAACTCCTGCAATCATTCGTGCCATATCCTAGCAATTAGCTGCTCATTCAATTCCACTGCAGCACAGACCCGGGTGCTACAGCTCAGGTTCTGCAGAGCTTTGAACCTCTTTTGCTCAGTACAACGTTCCCTTCAGCCACCTGGTTCTTCTCTAAGTTCCAGCAGCTTTGGGTGGAGCATCTTAGCAGTGCCACTTCCAGCACATTCATGAAACTGAAAAAAGGAGTGAACTCAGCTGATGAGCCCAGGCCTTTTGTAAATGCTTTGCTCAGTATGGAACTGCCGACTACAAGTTATTTCTGCCATTATTTTTTAAAAAGTCACAGTAAACAATTTACTAATTTCAACACAAAAGGCTCAAGCAAGGGAAGTGTTACAGCTACAAAAGAAACAACAAATATTGTCACAAGACTTGCATAGGAACTCAGTGACCCCAAACGTCCCAGGACGTTCAGCATCATAAACCAGCATAAATGCAGCTGTAGTCACAGTAAATAGGGAACACACAGTAAGGTTTCCATTCACAGCAGCTTCATGAAGGGTGATGCTCATAAACAGAACCATTCCTAAGTTCATCCTTCCAGTGGTTTTGCACAGCAAAACAGTACATGGCAGTATTATTTTTGTCCTCACGTCACAATTTCCTTGTTTTCATTTGGATAGCACTTAGGTAGAATAACTGCAACAAAGAATTGTGTTTTAGTTGTGCATTGGAGGGCAACTTTTGAGTTATCACTTTGGAGAATTGCTGATTTAGATCAGATTTACTCTGGCAGTGATTACGATGACTGAAGTACGGGCAGAGATCACTGCCACATGGCTAACTGGAGTCCTGATCTTCTGCTTCTGGCTCAGGAGGGTACAATTCATCCAAGATCAGCTCTGCAACAACAACAAACGACAAGAAGCACATTTCAGAGAGGTGTATTTTTGTACTTGATAAAATTAATAGCTGGGATCTGATTTACTGTAAAACATGGTGCCTGTAGTATGCTACAGTAAGTGCCAAAAGCAAGTGCTCAGCTATCTTGGACAATGACACTGTGCTACAGGGTGTACAGTGGGCACCAGGAGGCATCGAGGTGCAGGGAGAAGAGGCAAAAGCACCAGACCAGCTCTGCAGGAAACAGACACAGCATGTGTGCAAAGCAAAGGGAAAGCTCTGATGTTACACGAGCTAGAGGAGCTTTTGGAATAGTGGAGGACATGGACGGATAGAAGAAGGAAGATGAAGGAAGGTGTTAGGGATGCAGGGAAAAAAAGAACTGTTAGGGGAAAGTGTAATGTTAGTGGGAGACTTGGAATACTGTTAAACGTGGCAACACAGCAAAGATTATTGTTCTGCAAGGAGCTGGGGCATAGGATTTTATTTGATCAGACAGTAGGGACATATTTCTATGGAGAGAAGAGAGAAGACTAGTGCTTCTGTGTAATGAAGTCTGAGAAACACGACGACTGTGGAGTACCCTCTTAGGTCAAACCAACAAAACATCCATGGTCGGTAGACAGTGGTTATTAGGACTGCTAACCACTAGTCATTAGGAACAGGCTGCTCGGGGACCTGGGGGAGTCACCGCCCCTGGAAGCATTCAAGCACTGTGGGGATGTGACACTGAGGGACGTGGGCAGTAGTGCTGGTAGGAGGATGGCTGGACTTAATCATCCCAAAGGTCTTTTCCAACCTTAGTGACTCCACAGTTAACTGAGAACGGGACAGAGGTGGTATTTTATTTATATGTTAGGAAGGGAAAAAACCCAAACCACAGCACAACACAACGTGGCTCCATTTACCTTCGCAGGCACTCAGCTTTTTAGTTTTTCTGAGGATGGCTCTAATGCCTGGCATGGCTTGGTCATACTGATGGAGTACTTCCAAACAGTGCTCATGAAACAGTTTGTCTTTCTGAGATAGGCTGTGTAAGAGTAGGACAGCGTCCCTTAAGAACTGAATGACTTGCTCCTTATGTGCACACAAGCTGCTCTCAAATCTTCTAATCTTTGTCCACTGTCTGTGTAACATTATTATTAGTGCCTTAACCACCTGCCAGAGGAAAAAAAGAGACTGAGTACCCAAACTGAAATCACAGCAGCAGAAAATGCATTGCATTATGAACTGCATTAGTTACTCTTCAGATATCAGATGCTAGGAAGCAAAATCAAACTTTCCAGAAGGCAGGCTTTGAAGTACAGTAGCTAAAAAAGGATAAGAGGCTACTCCTACATCTTCAGCAGAAGAAATTCAGTAGCTACAGTGACGTACCTCCAGATTACACTGGCAGTGTGCAGCAGGGGGTAAAACTGTTGGGCTGGAGAACCGCACACACCGGGTCAGGAGCCTGACTGCCTGTTCCAAAGACATGCAGATGCGTTACAGTGAGTAGCAGGCTTCTGCAGAACTAGCAAACTACTGAGCTGCAAATCAAGGCAAGTCAGAACAACATTTCGTTACTGGCTTCTTTAACTAACGGCTGATCTTTTTTACTCCACCAAAACTAGTTAGTGTAATCTTTGCTGTAAAACTTAACTGCCTGACTTAACTTCACTAAATGCAGTGAATAAGTATCTTCAGTTTCTATCTTTCATGTGTAGTAACTCCAAAGATACAGCTCAGAAGTAAATTACAGGATCAAAATGGTACACAGGTCTTGCTCTCTACCAACCTAAAAGCAAAACAACATTTGCAGTCTTGAATTCATTTGCAGCTTTGTGCTTTTTCAGTGTCTTCACTCTGACTGCTATGACTGGTGTTATCTTGAAGAATAGTTACTGATTCAATTTCCAACAGTGATTCATAGAAACCAATGTAATTCCACACCAAAAGCTCAAACTTTCAGCTTCTGTTACAGTTGAAGAACTTTTTTGGATGCTTCAGGCACTGCCCTGCTCCTCCCACCCCTTCAACAAGACAAACTGTGGGACCTGGCAGTGTTACCTCTTGCTCCAGCTGCAGCCAATGCACCTCAGAGGCCGATTTGTCCGGTCTTGACGTGATGTACATGTACAGTGCAAGAAGAAGGCAGCTATCTGGAAGAGAGTTAACTCAGTTCTTTTCACAGCTAGTCAATAGCAGGCGATATTTTTGTTAGCTTTCAACTCCCCAGAACTCCTTTTTTCCTCAGCAGTTTTTAATACAACAGGTATTTGTGTGGAAAGTAAAAATCCAAAGCGCTGAGTGTACACAGGTGACACCAGAGGTGCTCTTCAAACAGCAATGAAACTCAGCACAAGCACAAGCTTGCAGGCAATGCAGCAGCCTGGGCTGTGGGGGTTAAGACTACAGAACAAAGCCTGTTTGTATGACTTTTAGTTGGGCTGACTAATACTAAACTGCTAACAATTCTGTGTGAAGGAATTTTGTACCTGAATGGGAGCAAAGTTGAGCAACCAGCAAGTGGTGTTGTGCAAGTATGGACAGCAGCTTCACGGTCAGAAGAACTGTGTGCAGAGGGACGGCCGGGCACAGGACACGGAGCAGCACCTGGTGGCTCAGGAGGTGCTGAAAACTTGCAAAGAGAAATCCCAGTTACAAATGGGAAGTGACTGACGAGTCGAAAGTAATTCACTGCTTCGTAACTCACACCTTTTCCAGCCATTCAAAACACAAGCTCCACTTACACACCAGAAATAAAGTAAGCTGCAAAACATATGCTGTTACGTGCTGCAGGCAGCCTGCAGTTCATACGATGGCTCCATGCATCCATTAGCAAGCAAGGATCACACTTTCAGGAGTGGCATTTCATCCACAAGAATAAACAGACATTATATTTCACGTAATTATAAACAGATTATGAGAATTATAAATATTATAACATAGAGTAGAAATAGAATAAATAAGTAAACCAGGAAGCCTTGTGCTTTCATTCCTTATGCATCTCCCAGCAATTCAAATAAAAAAAACTGATCAACCACACGACTGAAGAAGCTTTCTCACTCCAAAATGAGAGCCATGCAAGGAGCCAAAAGCATCTGCTTCACGTAAATGCAGGATAAGCAGATCTTACTATCGAGCTGGGGCAATTATCACATTCATTAGCAGCCAAGGCAGTGGTCAGATCCTCCACTGCATCCCAAAGGTGAGCCAAGAAACGTGACATTCTCCCACAGGTGTCACACCTTCTACTGCCACCTGCACAAATTATTTTCAACAGTGAAAACTGCTACACAACAAAGAGCCTGAAATCACTGATGAACTATTACTGACTTACTTGATTAGCAAGTCCATCGTTGAGTTTTCAGCCAGTTTTACCAGAACTTTCAGGCTGTGCTGCAGGATGCAATCCATCTGGGAGCCCGCGGTGGCAGAAAAAGCTAAAACCTGGAGCAGCTTTCTGAACAAAGAATGTTGTGCTTGAACGTTACTGTCAGCATCCTGCGGAGCGTCAGGCAGCCCTCCTTGTGTCCTGTCATCTTCTTTATTATCACACAGCACATTTCTGTCCGTCTTGGAAAGCTGTTCTTCTCCAACAGCAGAACTTTCTTCCACCTCATTAGCCAGCAACACGTGGACAACGTCCCAGCTATAAAATGCCAAATAATAAAGAATACCTAGCGACAGAACTGTTGCTTCTTCAAGAGACAACCTGAAGTCCTCCTTACTGGCCACCTTACTTGTGTTGGTTCTGGAAGAAACGACTGCATGGTTTCCACAAGAAGCATTTACTGACTTGTCTGCTGACTGCACCGCTCGACAGTAAGCGCCGATGTGGTGTTCCACCAAGGGCAAGAGGTGCACAGCTCCTGGGATCTTGCAGCGTTTCAAACACAACACCTCGCTCCCACTCCCTGCAGGGCTCCCTTCGCACGGCCCTTCGTCCATAGCGATCAAGTTCAGCCCTGTCACTGCGAGCTTCTGAGCTTCTTGCAGGGACACAAGAGGAGCAACTTCTTCCGGGGCTGCCCTGGTGCCAGGCATCTGCGTGGGCTGCCTACCCAAACAAAAGGAGGAAAATACTTCGGTGGAAGAAGAAGTAGAGAACAGAGCTGAAAATGTGCTTATTTGTGTTCTGAATCAAAGAATAGGAAGGCCAGGGATGGCTGTTCTCAAACTGCAGCTACATAGGCCAAATGCCTGCATGAAATGGAAGGGCAGTGAGGCACGAGCCATGCTAACACCACAAAGCACTGGAACTGCTACAGAGTGTCAGAAAAGCAAAGGTATTTCATGAGATAAAGTCTAGTTCTTTAAGGAGAGAAATGCAGTAGTTAAATTAAGTGCTTAATGCATTCATCTCCTGTAATATTAATCAAGAAATATAGTGACAGTAAGCATTGTTGGTTACAGTCTTATTAAGCAGTAAAACAGGCTGAGCAGATAAGACTGCACCAAAAACCTTTATTAGAAGTTCTCCTAAACCAACAGGTGCAGGCAAATAGTTATAAGTTACCACGGTGTGCATCCTCCTATAAAATAGAGGGTATAACCCAGGTTTTGTGAGCAACTAATTCCTTTCCAAACTATCCCACTGAATTCAGCAATTGCTAGCCTACAAGCCTAAGGAAATGTTAAATGCAACACAAAGGGCTCTCAACAAAAGAGCCATCAAACAATTAACAACAAAGATCTGATGAACGAACATGATATTTGAAACCACGTTCAGACAGTTAATTTTATATTCAACTTCATATTTAAATACAGCACTGGTTTAGACTTTAGGATACATGTATATATGTGTGTGTATATATAATAAATATTTTATATAGTTAAACATATCCTTAAAAAGACAAGGCAGCAGCTGCTTGTCGCCACTTCCAAGTTTTCCTAATTTCTGTGCCCTCCCCTAACACAGAATTAATTCAGTTTCCAATTTCGTGTTTCTCCTGCGTTCAGTACCTACAATCACCAAAGACAGGTGACCAAAGCTGCAGAATGATGCTCCGAGTTCTGCCTTCAATGCACTCGGCCAAAGGGCGCCGAACACAAGGCTCCAGGTGCCCCCCACACAACACCTTTGTCACACAGCATTCCACTGTGCTGCCAACACATCAGATGCAATTTTACAGTCCTTACGTCTGCAGAAGGTCGGGCTGCAGCACAGCTCCTGGCAGAGCCTCAGCGCTGCTGCTGAGGAGATGGCAAAGTCCCAGCAGGGACCCAGAGACAAGGGGCTGCTTCAGCAGGGCGCTCAGCAAGGCGGAACCTGGAGAGATTGCCTTTGGAGCGGCTTTTCCATCCTCTGCAACAACAGCAACATATTTCAAAAGGTTTACCTCACCAATGCTGCTCTCAGCCTCAAAGATCAGTTCTTCCATCATCAATTTCCTTTCTCTTACAAGACAGAATACGGGAAGAAAATATTTTAAATTCATTGGTTCTCAAAATCTTATAGATCACAATTTAAATGTGGATCAGGGCACGTTTAAGGAGATTTTAACTACAGTCCCTTTATAAGCAAACACCTCAATCAAGTGGTTATAACAACGCAGTCATCCTGGGGCCATGGCCTCCATGTTCCAGTCTGAACATTAAAACCACGTGAAGCAATTCTGAACTGGAAATAACTTGTTGAACACCTTAAGCACTGATGTGTTCCGTCCACTTTCAGAAACAAGAAATGTACATTTTTCCTGCTCTCTTCACAACAGACAGCGCTGTTTGTTTACACAGCCAAGCCTGGAAGATGTCTCTCAATGTACATCTTGGTCCATACCCTTCTGAAAAGCAAAACCCAGGCAAACAATGTTCTGAAACAGAGCAACAATATCCCAGTGCTGCAGGGATATGTGATAATAGAACCTGAAATGTTTAAGTGCAAAACCAAAGCTAAGAGCAACTAACTCCGCAGGCAGGAATCCATGCAGTGGCACTGCACATACATGACAGCACTCACTAATGGCCTCTTAATCGCTCCTCAGAAATGCTCATCTATTTTTTCATGCTTATTATTTCTGTGTTGCCAGAAATATGTTACCTTGAATGTTCCGACGAGGTACAGAATTGCAAGAACCATTCCTTCCCATTGCTTCCTGCTTTATGGATGACAATTCAGGATGGGGCATCTTACTATCTAAAGCAAACAGTAATTATGTTTCAAATACAAGGAATAATTGCTTAGACACCTGCATCTGTCATCTGCACACCTTCAATTAGCCACAGCTGTCGTGCAGTAAGAACACAAAGCACAGGCCAATACAAAATACTCAGCAGTGTCAAACACCACTGCGTTGAAAAAGTAACTATAGGAACCCTCCTAAGGCTGCTGATACACGCTGCCCAGCACTGCTTCTGGCTGGATACTGCAGCTGACAGAAACACCTCAGATGTTCCATCAGCCTGCAGTGAAGGTCACAGAATCATAGCCTGCTTTGGGTCGGAAGGGACCTTTAAGATCATGTAGTTCCAACCCTCTGCTCTTGGCAGGGACAGCTCCTAATGTCTCCCATCATTTCCCTCTGCCAATGTGCCACTGTCTCAATGCAGCAGTTGGCTGCTAGTAAAAAAAGAAGAAAAAAAAAAAGCAACACAATTTTTGTTCCATATGACAGTAATACACAGAAAAACGCACACATGTGTTTCCTAGGTTTTACTCAATGACTTTAAAGTCACAGTTGTGTGAGAATTACTGCTCAACACATAAAGGAGGAAATGAGTGAAGCCCTGCAGCTGCTCGCTTTAACGTGGCTCAATATGCACCATTTAAAATGAAATACCAAAAAAAGAGAACTATTACCAAAGCCCAAACCTCAGGAGTATAACAAACACACTAGCTGACTGGTAGACCTATTCAACAAATAAACAAATTATTTCCTGTTCCTTCTTGAGTGAGGATCGTGGGTAACAGTTTGGACATTGCAGCTCATCTCATAACAAATGACTTTCTCATGAGAGCCAGCAAACACTTCACCCAGCTCCCTGGCATTTACCTCACTGCCAAGTGATCCCCCTGCAAACCTGAGGCGGAGCCATATGGAGCACAAGCAGTGTCACACCAAAAGAACCACTCTTGTTCCTGTGCTGACCTTACTGCAACTGCTGGGTCACACAGGGCAAAAGCCTGAATCTAAGGCAGAATGTTCACAAGCAGCTAAAAATACTGCAGGTTGTATACATAAGTTGTATGCAGGTTTACCTTCCTTGCTGGAAACCATCTGTGCAAAACAATTTCCTGAAGAAGAAGAAGAGGGTCTGACAGCTGTTTCAGCATTGAAAGACTCTTTTGTAGGAAAAGACCTTTTTCCAGGCTGCAGAGGACACCCTTCTGATTTCATCTGGACTGTAAAATTCTTTTTAGGGCTACTAAAAAAACAAACAAACAAACAAACAAGAACAACAAAACACCAACAAATACCCCTCCAGCTTTAATGAATCGATATCATTTTTGGGAGCATTTTATTAAACAACACAGATCTATTTAATAGCTTTCTCAGCACTGATGTTTCAGTGGTACTTCATTCTACAACCCCTGCATTTCTGTCACAGAGATTTCTTCAGCTCAACAGAATAGTTTTGGTTGTATTTTCTCAAGGAAATGACCTAAGAGTTACACGGACAAAGGAAACCTGTGCACGAATTCAAGCGTGCATGAAAAGAACAGAGATTATTTTCCAAAACCCACACATACCTTTGTGGCACAACCGTTTGAGCTGAGTGTTTGTTTCTTTCACAGTTCTGAAGCCGCGTTCTTAATTCATTCATTTCTGCATCTTTGAACTGCAACTCTGACTGCAGTGACAGTAACTGAAAGAATCAAGGAGATCGCTTTACTGTTACAGAATAAGTAAGCTGTTCCAACTGCAAAGCCATGCAAATTTCTGTAAGATTTCAAGGTTGCAGGCTACTTACTGTGATCTCTGTACAAGTTCTCCATTTTTATGCTAATCCAATTAATACTATCTGAGAACCAAGTGCCCAGGGTCAGGCAAGAAGCAATGACTTGGCAAGACAGACCAAGTGCCACAAGAGCATGAGCACAGCCAGGCCATTAACAGCACAAAAGCAGCCACTGTCCTCTTCAGGGCTCTCACAAAGATGACTGCAACAGGAACAGCAATCTGATCAGAGTCACACAGCACCTTCTGTCTCATTTTCCATTCTACAATTGTTTGTGATGTACCATTCTATTTCCAGTTGTAATGTTCCGGGGACTGCTAAAGCAAGCAAGCAAGCAAAAACCTGCCATCTTAACTTCACTCCTATTTTGGCAGAAGAAATGCACTGTCAGGTTCTTGTAAGGGTTTTCTTCTGCATAGCAAAATAAAGGCACACTCAGAAGTGTCACACAGATATTCCTTCTTTGACTGAACAGACCGTGGCAGCACTGAAGTCACACTGTGAGCTTCTTTCTGTGTGTGGTGCTGAGGCGACTGACAGAGCTACAAACCTTTTTGGAGAACTCTCTCTCTTTTTCACCAAGGGCCTGAGATTGTTGCTGTTCCAACAGCATGTACGACCTTCTCTGCTCATCCATAGTGTGCTCCATCTGCTGCATTGAGTCACGCAACATTTTGATTTCCCCATTTTTAGTAAGAATTTCATCCTGCATTTCTTTCAGCTGCAAAGAGATGAATTCCATTAAGCATACATTCAGTACATTCAGCCAAAAGTACCCATATTGCTCTCTACAAGGTCAAAGGCTGAGTGCTGTAGCTCAGTTGCTATATAGTTGCTATAACCCAGTGTAGAAATCCTGCACTGTGGCTTCTCTTTTTTTTTTTTTTCCTGATTAAATCAGGCTCTGTGACTTTCTCTAATAGAATTACAGCGTTTTGCTGCCTGTCAGAGAATGTGGGCTTTTCTGCACTGCTGTCACCCCTTTCTTTTAGGGAAATGGTTTCCAACTGAAGGAGGGGAGGTTTAGACTGGACATAAGGAAGAAATTATTACAATGAGGATCATGAGGCAGTGGCACAGGTTGCCCAGAGAGATGGTGATGCCCCATCCCTGCAGATTCCCAGCTCAGGCTGGGGGGCTCTGACCACAGATAGAGCTGTGGGTGCCCCTGTGCACTGCGGTGCCTTTCCAAAAAGCACAGTAACACCATTCCCTTAAATGCACTCTTTCAAATCGTCAAGTGACACAGAGCAGCCGCACGGGACAGATTGTTTAACAGGAAAGACAAAAACTGACAGATCAGCATTTGCTTATCCGAAATGCCCGGGGCACAAACACCGCTCCCTTCGGACGCCCTGGAGCCATTTCCATTAGGACTCCTTTCATACACCGCACGCTCGGATTCCGAACCACCCGGATCAGAGGCAGGACCGGATCCCCGCCCCCGGGCTCCACAGAGTTGCGGGGCGGCGCTGACCTTCCGCCGGGCGTCCTCGTGCTGCGCCTGCAGCACCTGCAGCTGGAACGCCCCTCGCAGCTGAGCGCCGTCCGCACCGCCGCCCGCTGCGGAGAGAGAACGGGAGAGCTGTGGTCTCGCTATCGCGACAGTCGCGCCTCCGCTCCCCTCTCGCCCCGCACTGACCTCCGGGCTCCGCGGCGCCGCTCCACGCGCCGTGTGGGCGGCTCGCCGGGGCCGGGCCTCGTCCGGCGGCGTCCTGCGACAGCGCCTGCGAAGCGATCGTGTCGATCTCCTCCAGGTCGTCCGCCGTGAAGTCGTCGTTGTCCCCGAAGGGATCTTCTTCCGCCCCGACCTCCGCCGGCCCCTTGGGGCGTTTGCTGGGCGGGAAGCCGTTCCCCAGCGCGGCGGCCGGGGCGCTGCCCCGCGGCCAGCCCGCCCCGCACAGCGCGGGACCGCTCCGTTTCCGCGGCCCGAGCGGCGGCCGGGTGGCCATGCCGAGAGCCACTCGGCCCCGCGCCGCCCCGCGACCCCGTCGGCCGGAAGCCCGCGCGCCGAGCCGCGGCCAATCGGCGGCGGGCTGCCCTCCTCCCCGGCCAATGGGCGGCCGCGCCTACGGCGGCCCCCGAGGGTCAATCCCGGCGCCGGCGCAACACCGCCGGCCGCAAGCGCCCCCGCCATTGGTCGCCGCTGCTCGCGCTGTGAGCGGCTCGCTGATTGGACGGGCGGGCGCGAGAGCGGCGGCCGACGGCGGTGGCGGCGCTGCTCTCCTCGGTGAGGGGAGGAGCGGTGACGTCACGCTGACGTCAGGTGACGTCATACCGCGCCACGGCCCGCTGGGACGAGCTGCGGCGTGTTCTGTGTGCAAGAAGATTCTGTATTTGGTGGTCCTACTTCATTTGTTCCTGCTGTTTCGTTTCTCAACTCACTGCTGCAGGAATCTTGCAGAAAAGTGCATTAAAACGTGGAATGCACGCCTGGATCGCCCTGCTGGTGGAGCCTCTGAGCCTGGATCTGGAGTCTTGGCCCCGGAGCAGCGCGTCTGAAAAGAGATGGATGGAGGTTTACAGACCACGTCCGTGTTTTGAGACGTACGAGCGACGAGAGCCCACACGAGACGGCGGGGCGGAGCGGGGCCGGAGCCGGGAGATCCACGCGGCGGCGCGCCTCGTCCGCTCCCGCCCTTCCCGCTCCGACCAATCGGCGGCGAGGCCCTGCCCCTCCGCCAGCAAAACAAACACGGCCCGTCTCCGCAGCCGCCCAATGGCCACGCGCGGCCGCCCGTAAGCCCCGCCCCGCGCCCGCCGCGGCCAATGGGGATCGGGCTCGGCGGCCGCGGAGGGGCGCGGGGCGGGCCGCGTCGTTGTGACGCGCTGCTGCGCGACGTCGCCATTGGCCGGAGCGGCGGGCCGGGCGGAGCGGCGCGGCGGCGCTAGCGGCGGGCCGGGGCCGGAGCGGCGGCGAGCGGCGGCCGAGCGGCCATGAGAACCGAGACCTCCACGGCTGCGGCGTTCGTCACCCGCCTCCTGCGGGCCGCCGGCGGAATCGGCGAGGAGCAGCTGCGGTGCTTCCGGGAGTACCTGCAGGAGGCGCTGCGCGGTGAGCGGCGGCCCGGCCCGCTCCGCGTCGGCGGTGCTAACGCCGCTAACGCCGCTAACGCCGCTCTTTGTTCCCTCCCGCAGAGCACTACAAACACCACTGGTTCCCCACGGCGCCGACCAAGGGCTCCGGGTACCGGTGCATTAGGATCAACCATCAGATGGACCCGCTGATCGGCAAGGCGGCGGCGATGATCGGACTGAGTCACGAGAGACTTTTCCAGCTCTTGCCCAGCGAACTGACTCTTTGGGTCGACCCTTTCGAGGTGTCCTATCGGATAGGCGAGGACGGCTCCATCTGCGTCCTCTATGAAAGCCCACAGCCCGGGGCGAAGGCGAGCAAAGCCCTGGAGAGCAGGAGCAGCTGTAAGAAGTGGAGAACTGGCCGGTCCAGCCCGTCCGAGAGTTACAACATGATGACGGTTTCTAGTTAGAAGTTACTGTTCCCTGTACAGTTATGTATGTATCCCAGTTCTGTGATAAACTTAATTGTAACTGAGGTCTTGACTCTTTCTTTTCTTTTTTTATTGGTAGCGGCGGGAGCTTTTCACCCTGTATCATCCGAGTTGTAACCGTACTGCCAATCCTTGTGGCCAAGGGCTAACGTGTAAAGCAGCTGTTCAGTCTGCCCGTTACTCTGGAACATGTACTGTAAATGCACTGTACAGCCGGTTGGTTGTTTTACACATTTATATTTTCGAGGAAATTCCGGTATTTGTAATAAAAAGCGACGCTGTAGCACTTCGTGGTGGATTTTAGTCAAGATTAACACTTTGTTTAAAAAAAAAAAAAAAAAAGACAGAAAAACAAACTCAATTTGAAAGCAATAACACAAAGGGGATTAAAGCAGAAGCAGCGAGCTGCACATCAATCTCCACTGACTTGTCTGCACAGACTTTTCTCAGGGTCATTCAAGTTTGGCTGCAGGGCACAAATCACAGAAGTATTTTTTACCTTTTTCAAAGCATGTGTTTATTTGGGAGCTGGGTTTCATCATGCCCCGATGTTCTGACAGAAGGGGTTGGGGAATTTGTCTATCTTACTTCTAGTCAGCAAAGTAGAATAATAAAGACTTGCTCAAAGTGCTTTTGACTTGTTTTTTATTGTCTGGTCTCTGTTCTGTGATTTTTCTTGTTTTCCTTTTGAGACATTGCTCTCAAAGCTTGCCACAGCTCTTTCTAGTCACTGCAGATCCCGCACCTTTAGCAGGGAGAAGCTCTGAATATTCACCTTTATTTCAGCTCGCTGCAACATGCTTAGTACCAGTAAAGCTTGCTTAGCAGTGTGCCTGAGCAGGGCTGTGTGGTTCACTGTGCTGGATGAAACTGAATGGAAGCAGTAATATGCTACTAACACTTGATCTGTAGCAGAAGTATTTTTGGATTCATTGAGTTTGTTTAAAGCAGTGACTTAAACCCATGTAGGGAGCTGGAGTGAAAGGTTTGATATTTGCCGTTGCTGATCTGCTGGGAGTTAAGGAACTGCTGTTCCTTACAGCAGCTCAGAATTCTCCTTCTGTCAGCTTGGATTTGCAGTTTGGTAAAATCAGAACCAGAAGCAGTGGGGTCACTACAACAGCCAAAGCGTGTTTCTGGTTTGTGTGATGACTTGGTAGTCCGGTGAAGGATCCCATTCTATGGCTGTGCTGTGTCAGAAGCCACGGTTTGTAAGGTAGCAATGCAGGCTGCACTTCTGGTAGCCTGCAGTCTGAGCAGAGCTGGGTGCTTGATGAAAAGGAGCTTTGTCTCGTGTTCATCTGTCAGCAAAAACCATCTTGTGCTATGTCAATAACGTGGTAAAGCATGCAGCGAGGGGGCAAGTCTGGGCAGCCTGGGAAGGGTAGAACCTGGCCTGCATAAGGAGCTTTTCTCTTTGCATTAGAGAAAGCTGTGGCTTACTGGTTGCACTTTGCCTCGATTGCTGCTTGCCCTGTTGTTTTGGAGGCAGGCTTGGCTGGTAGGCTCTGTTTAATCTGAACAGAATGCACAGTGCCATGTTCTCAGTGAGCAAAGCTTTGTAAAAATTGATTTTGTTCCTTGCCTGTCACTCCAGGAAATGAGTGTCTGGGTTACTTTTACTAAGAAACGGATGTTTAAGGTTTTGCAGCAAACTGCCTTTAGTAAAACAAGATTGAAAAATCATTTCTTATAACATTGTCTGATTTCCTTACTAACCTTCACCTCTGTTCCTGATTGATTTGCCTGCACTGAATATTTATTTCCTCAGGACCTCTAGGGGTCAAATTCAATGCATTTGTTGCTAATTGAACAGAGTAACTTAAAATCTGGCGCAGAGAGCTGCCCTCTGTGGCTGAGTGCCCTTTGGAGGACAACGCTCCGTGCTGCCCGCTCACTTAACAGCAGCTCTTACACAGCAGGAAGTGTTTGAGGCAGTTGTTGGAGGTGAACTGGCAGCTGGGCATGGCTTTACGTGCTGGACGTGGTTGGGCAGACACAAAGTAGGATACGGTGGCTTTTTCATGTGCTCTTTTCTTGCCTGCTGTGTAAGATGAATCCAGCCGTGTGCCTTCTGTTGCTTTTGTAAGGGTTTGTTAATCCTGCTATGTTCAGTGGGATATTTCACACACTGTGTGTAGCGTCTTGTCTTGGTATCCCTGTACTTGAACTTGCCCTGCAGGTTTGGTGCTAATCATTAGAAAGGACTTTTTTGTCAGTGTAATTCAAGTTCAGCTGCATATTCTTAATCTGCTCTGTAGCCCATTGGGTGAAGGGGGCTGGGAGGTTCAGAGCAAACACACCAAATCAAGAGCTGCAAGTAAAGAGCTTGTGACATCTACAAGTACATTCCACTGCTTTAAAATCAGAGGCTCCAACAGCACAAAGAAAGGCTTTTCTGGTGGAATGCAGCTCTTGGTAGAAAGCCAAGGGGGCTGTTTAGATGAAGAAGGTAACCTTAGTGTGTTTTCCTTAGAAGAGGAGGGGTTTGGCTTTCTTGTTGCAACAGCACAATACAAAATACTTAAAATGGCAACAGTTCTGCACAAGGCTGACCACATCTGCTCCGGTGTGATTTAGAAGAGAAGGTTTTGGGTTCCGCAGGGAGAACTAATGTATGCCAGCCTTCTTGGAGCAGTAGAAGTGCATGGGGAATGGTATCTGTTGTCAAGCCTGCTTGTAGGAAGATGAGTTACCTGCTGGGTAAGTAAAGCTAAAGGAAGGAACATTTACACATGACCAAGCATGCATTTGCCTGTTTCTCCAAAGACTGCCTTGCTGCAAAGATGGATAAATAATCTTTGTCCTGTGAACTACACAGCAAAACCCATATCAGACAGGAGGTCCTGTCAGCTGGTGTCACCTTACTGCTTGCTTGCCGCACATCGCACAGCTGGTCCCCACCTCAACGAAGGAACAGAGCGGTGCTGAGCTGTGCGCTGAACGGCTGAGCAATAAGCCTTCATTTCTTCATACATGCCTGAGCTCTGTGCCAAGAACCGAGCGCGGATCCGGATCCCAGCACTCCTCCTGTCCTCTGCCGCTCCGTCAGCACTGACCTTACGGTGGTTTTTCACTGCACTGAGAACAACAGCAGATGAGTGCAGACGCAGTGCTGACGTAATCGTTAACTACGACATCTTCTGCCCGACCCAGCTGCATTCACACAACCTGCTCTTTGCTGTGTGTCTTTGTTTGCCTTAGAATGCTGTTTGTTGGTGGAGCACCTTAGAGAGGTGCAGCGTGTCCTGATGCGGTCAGCACAGAGCGGGATTTGGGCAGGACAGCCCTTTTGTAGAACACTGCTCACTGCTGTTAATGACAGTGCTTTACTTCTAGTAAAGATCCTTATCATGAAGTGAATTAGTGCTATATTAAACCCATCTCTTGCAATTATTAGTTATTATTTTCCTCTATCTTAGGACACCTACTCGTGAGCAATT